TTGACATATTTACTGCACATTACCGAATGAAGAACTAGAACAGCCAGAGATATGTGACTCTTTCTCAGCTGATTTCGGATTTCATCAAACAGGATAAATTCTCTAAGATCCGTTCGGACAGAAAAGCATGATGGCTGAACCGTTCATTTATTGTTAGGTGGGAAATCGGTACTCCGTGGGGAATTCGGTCGAAGATGTGGATAATTCCTGCGCGAAGCTTACAGACGGACAGATAACATCATCTCAGGAAGGTTACGTGGCAGACCTGAATTCATCGGTCAACTTGAAATCTATCGTTAGTCGTTTATCCGCGAATGTACTAGACGGGTGGACCGAAGTTGCCGATAAAAGCTCGGTCAGTGGAAGAGAACATGATCTGGAAGGCTTGATCTGGTCTGTCGGGTGGAGAGTTAAAGTATCTTGATCGAAGAACCGTTTGCCGGTAAGAAGTGAAGCTGACATAACGGGACCCACAACACAGTTGGCGGGGGACACAAACAACGAAACGTCTTGAGTGTCGCTCCAGTAAACCTGAAGGGTCTTAAAAGGGGTCTGAAGACACTTGCATTGTTAAATAATGGATCATATACGTCGTTGATACCCGATCAAATAGCCGAGGGTCTAGGTCATAGGGGCAGGAATTCCTGCGTATGTGATTCCACTGAACGGGATCTCTGAGCGAAAGTGCTAGGATGTTGGCGCAGAACACTACTCACTGAATGCTCACGGTTCAGTGGAGACACGAAGAACGAGCATAGTCAGTGCGTAGACCCATTTGAGCAGCAGATTTAGGTGTGAGGCCACTTGACATACATTTAACTGCCGTGACTGCAGGGTGGTTCGGCTAGAGTTCTGATTGTGTGCGCTGTTCCGGGTGCACCTTCGGACGTGGAACAGTGTATGGGAGGCAAGGACCAGCCGCTTGGAGTAAAACCCACCTGTGTTCGGTCACATTGGGTCAAAAGCAGGATAATGAATCCAAAAAAGAATTTTTCTACCCGTGCTTGAGTAACGATTATCAGGTAACCCGTGAAGGTTGCACTGATACGGTTTGAGAGGTTTCCATTAACACCTCCTGGAACAAGCCTGAATAACGTTGTGCCAGGATAATACTGGTATCTAAGCGGATACCCTAACCCTTTAAAAACAAATAGGACAAATGCGGCACACGTGACCTCTAGAAAACTCTGTCCGAATCCAAAACTGACGGCCTGAGATTGTCCACCATTCTCTTCATTATATCACAGTTAGATTTAGTTGAGTGACGCGGTTCAAGATTGTATGAACTATCTTTGTACCTGTTCTGGATTCATTTTATTTCCCAACAAATGAAATCCCACATAAAATACCGGCGAATTTTAGGGAGTGTGAAGATAAATCGTGTGGGGATCCAGTACCGACTTTTCCGTTGAGTATCAAAGTTTGTGGTCCTAGAATAGAAGTCTGTGAGCCAATATCTAGCAACCTACAGCGAGCTTCTGTCTTCTCTCATTCTCTTGTTGAGTGATTCGGCTGGCTATTCAGACAACGCCAGTACTTCAGTGCAGTATTTCAGGCGTCTCACTACTTTAGGGGGTAGTTACTGAGATTCCTACGTGTAAGATGTTTGCACATTAAGCATGGTATTACAGGCTCTGTATACTAATCCGAAGCTGTGGAGTTGAATGATTAGTTACACATGCACTTCGCCATCGTTCTTCTCAGAATGGATTCAGGCCCCTGAGATGACAGTCGTTTCGCTGACTGCTCTGCTTATTACACTACCTAGCACTGTCCGTTTATTCGTAAGGCCATGAATGTTTGCGCTAATAACCTACAATCAAATCTGGTGGGTTCCCATCCTATTCATAGGGGCTTCTGAATAATTTTTCTGCGGAGCCTAACCGAGCGAAAACGCACTGCTTTTGTCTAACTGTTCAGTTGCCAACCTGGGTTGAGTCCTTCCTCTATCTCGTGTCATTTGGTTCGAACAACAAGAGAAAAGCATCAACCGGCAAAAGTACAGTTCGGCGAATGTAGTCAGTCCTTTCTGTATACAAGAACACAATTTAGGGCAGAAAAATATTTTTTCTGCAGAAACCTCCTTCTTCATATATTGTGAATCGGATGGCCAGAACCACTTTTTTGGTGGCAACCTTTTCATCGGCCTTCGAATCTCGCCAAAATAATATTCAGAATGGTCCTTTGGTCACAGGCCTCTGTTGTCATGAAACGCAAAGATAACAAGCTCCTCGAAGACTACCACTTTGTCTTTACCCCACTGAATGATGATAGCCAACCTTAGGGCTACAACTAACTTCTTAATGTGCAGCTATATTCTGGCCTCCTGCTAAATCGGCACGTCTTTGCTTATGGATAGCTTCAGATTGCTATTTCTTCTGTGCGACTGGCAGGACTTGCAGCTCACGCGACTCCTTGGGCGACACCAGCAGCGCATCGCCCCAATAATAACCTAATCTTTTAACGAGTATTTTGGAACTTCAGCAACTTGCCGTGAAGATGAAAAAGCAGAAGAATCCTCCTCTTTTTACTTCTAGCACTCCATTCAAGATCACCTGCATCACGTAACACAGGCAGTTTCTAGCCTGACCAACCGTCCGGCTTAGAATATTAGTGCATTTCAGCACGGCAGTGGGCAACCACCTTTATCACAGATATTGGTTCGGCTCCTGAAAATCAGTTTCTTCATGAAATGGCTTCGTTTCTCCAACCAGGCCACGGATGCAAGAAGGTCAGCGTAGGCCCAGCTAAATACTGATCGCCTTACCGTACCTTCGCACGGTGCTAGGCTAAGGTTCGTGAAATTTCGCCCATAGCTCCCGTTGCACTCATCAGAATTCATACTTTCATACCGTCACAAAGTGATACCCATCATATTATAGAAATTCTGGCAACAATTCCAGCTAGTTATCTCGCAGAAAATTTTCTTCCTACTTGAAAAAAGAACAATCAAGTCTGTAAGGGAGCACTTACTGCATAAGGGAGGAATCGAAAACCGGTGTTTTAAAAGGTTTGAAAACCCTATGCAGTCGATAAGAGGTGCTTTGAACCAGCAGGTGCATCCAGTCAAAAACTTTCCTCCCACCTCACTTGAAAGTTTAGCCTGTTTAAAAAACCCCAACTAGGCTTAATGCAAAGGTAACCAAGCCCATAGATTCATGTGGACATGATGTGACGGCACTGACAAGGGACTTACGTCAAATATTGTGCGAGGCATTCCAGATGTCGTTTGGTTCCTTGTCATGATTCATCAACGCTCGTCCATTGTCTGTGTTTCTCGGCATCCAACATCACTAGTGTGAGCCTAGGGAACTGACAGTTTTCGATCTCCCACGTTTGGTCTTTAGAACGCAGTTCTTTTTGTTTCTTTCGCTAATCCACTGTTCAGGGAAATCCCCTCTGGTTTTATGTTCTTAGCTTCGGTGAGATAAATGTTTCGTGGTTAGTATTTGTAACTTTTAGGTTATGATGGCTAAGGAGCTACAGGTTGTTGAGAAGATTGGACGCCTTTCGCTACTGCTATCTGTATAAGTGCATGAACAGGAATGGTAGGATAGTGGAAAAACGTCTATCATAACCATTAGGGAGACAAAAGTTCAAAGACTGGGCCTAGTTTTTGGAGAACTCGGAGAATAGTGCAGGTGTGTCAAAAAGAGATGGCGATCGGTAAATAGGAAAGAAGTCCTGGTGGGCTAGTGACATCAGCAATAATAATAATAATAATAATAATAATAATAATAATAATAATGCTTATTCCGTAAGGATACAGGCACGCACAATCTTTATAGGTATGAATAAATCACCATATGAATTCCTTGTATTTTTATGGCAGTTTATCTCAGTCCCCACCTATTCTGTCATTAGAGGATATAAGGGCTGCATGTTTGTAGAATGAAGCATCTCGGTAGAATAAATGGGCGAACTGTATAGGTTCCAGCACGTCTTTAGTAGGCTATGCAAACGGGTGTAACAGTATTAATGTCGTTTGAATGAGTCGATCGAGGGGACTGTGACTAAGTCCAGCTGCATGGCTTTCCATAGGCGGTATACTCTCAGAGGGGAAGCATTCCACTTGGGTCTGGTGTTAGATCTGCGATGTGCTGTCCCAAAGGGGTTTTAGGGATTGTCCTGGTGTGAACTTGACAGACGCAAAGACCGATCACCAGCTATTTGAACTCGTTATTTACCCACGAATACGAGACCAAGAAAGAACACAATAGCGTAGTCGGATGGAACGGTATATTTGCGAGGTCGTGACAAGATGCCGGTGCGTTCCAACTAGCTGGCTAGAGGATGGATCACGAGCAGCGCAAGGCAACGCGACAGCGTGCCAAATGGCGAAAATACCCGACCAGATGCCTTCAGCGTAGCGAGTGCAGTTAAACTATCAAGATCAGCATCAATGTTGAATACCGTTGAACCCCAGGCTGTCGATCCCGGAGAAGTGTGACGCTACAGGGTCTCCTCTTGATAACCGCCATGCTGCGGGTGGGGCTATGTTGTTTGCGAGGCTTGCCTGATGGAAGAGCTTGTAGGCCACAATAAAACCACCCTCTTATCGATAGTCCAGATGTAATTGGTAAAAGTGGTTCGTTCAGCCATAGTACCTGGCTCCTTAGCCACACGATTGACTTTGTTGTAGGTCTTTGCATTTTCCAAAGAATATTGAAATCTCTCTTGAGTGTTGGGGATAATACTGTAGTGAAGACCTTTAGAAGCGGTGATACGCGAAATTCGTAAACTGAAAGTCCGACGGTGGGGTGTCGACCCGCTTTTTCCCCCTCTTCCACATCCTGGAGCCCCAGCCGCCTGTGTAAACCACGACTGAGAAACTGGCGAACACTCTTCTACACGTGGCGTCAGACAAATTAACCACAAGCTAGACTAAAACCAGAAAACAGCTGAAGTAATGGAATACTAGAGGTGTCAGCACCATTAACTTATTGGATCCGTAGTAGATACAAACAGCGTTTATTTTAGAAATGGATTCAAACAGACTGCAAACTTTCTTTGTCTAGTGGAAAAATACAGTGATAATGACCGCTTATTGGACACTGGAGATGTAGCTCTAAGCGCTTTCTTGAAAGTACTTCAAGATGGTGTTCAGGGTCCAACTATTTCTCCTGACGTTGTTTGGGGTCTTCAGTTTGTGCCCAGCTGACGGGTATAATCATGTTGTTATTTCATAAATTTTAATTTCATGGCAGCAACTACACATACTTCAACGTGTCTGGTTGTATGGCATTCTTCTCCCGTTCGATATCAGTTAAGTTCGTAATCGGAAAAGTAGTAACTATTATACCCATTTCACCAAGCTCTATGTCACTGTCTTCGCTAAGTGAGTGCACAGACACTAGCTCAGTGCTTGCCTTTACCGCCAAAGCAAACGGCATACAAGACTTGGATATTAGGTAAATTTGTTTAAAAATGGCGTTCACTGTCTGATACATATTTCAGTTTGCGCTTTACCAAGTCTGGTCGTTACTGGAGTGTATCTGAATCATCTGTGAATATAACATGTCAATCAGAATCAGATTCTTGTGTTAACGTAACTGGATATCCCTTAAACATTCGATGGGCAGAAGCTCCAATTGGACTTGGTTACAAATGCACGAAACCTCCTGTTGCACCTGTCCTTCTACCTGCAGGTTCCGATAGATCTGTATCTGTCCAGTTTTACAGCGTTCAGGTGGGTGTTCTGTTTTGTGTAATTTCATCTTACATAACGATATGAAGTTGTAGGTCTTAAGTTAATGACAATTTTCTCAGAGTCCAGCCGTTTGCTGTTATAAATCATAACTGTTTACTTGGTGGCTTTGGCCTGCTCACATTTTTCAGAAGTTGAGGGTGTTAAGCTGAGATACCCAGTCAACATTTTCGAGGGGCAAAACTCGGCGTCATGTTTCAGATTGCCGTGAAAAGACAGGCAAAACGCGGGAATGTGCAACATTTCATCGAGTTTTGCCCCGGCTTTCTAACCCTTGTTTTCTACTCCGCGTTTCTCCACGAAAATGCTGACTGGGTAGCAACTTTAACGTCTGATAAATTGATGGACGTAACCCTACCACCTTGGATTTCTCGCGGATTGACGTAATCCTCAACCTGAGATGGAGTTTGCATAAATGAGGTCAGAGATGACTTGCAAGGTACATGGAAGCGAGTTAGGCGATAAGGTCACGAGCACCAAGTGAAGTGTCTAGGTATCTATTTCCTGCATGTGCTGACAAACTGCCTTTAACAATGTCATGATACACGATAAAGAATAAGGTTGAGAATGCTGGGTGTGTTCAGAAGAAGACGGCTAATCCACGAGCTGTCTGACAATTGGTTCGAACTGTTCAGGAAAATGTAACTCGGGTAGTTAATGTTTTCAAAATGTTAGGAACCGATTTTCCGGAAATCTTAGTGATATCTCAAAGTTGGTAACATTAGCTGATGGGAGTATGTTTCTTTTCATCGGAATTCGGGGTACTTTTTCTTACCATTCATTTATCTTACTGTGTCGTGTGCTTTTCTCATCCTTTTTATCTCCACTTTCTCTGTTATGGGATGCAACAATGTTCTAAGTTGTGAGTTGTGTGAAGACGCTGGCAGAATGCAGGATCGTGTGAATGCACTGGGTAGAAATCGGATTATGTTTGGTATACGTGTTTTACCTGTCAAATGGAAGATAAGGCTCCAAGACTGATCTGCTGCAAGTACTGCCAGATGAATGATACGGAGAGAAGTGGTAAGTTGTACCGACCACTTCACTAACTTGGGAAGTAGTACCAGCCTGAACGAGTTAGTTGCTGACGAAATCTCAACTCGGATACAAAAGGCCCGTTTAGCCTTTGCCAACCTGGGTCACTTGTGCCGTCGGCGAGATCGTCATCAAGGTAAACATAGGACCACGCATTACTACGTGACGGTCCAATTTGATACATCCCATTAGCGCACCAAATAACAAGGCAGTAAAATGGAATATAAAGCAGAAAAGAAAAACCCGTCAAAAAAGTGGAAATTAGTAAAAGAGGAAAACGAGGACTGGGAAAATGCTGAGATGGATAATGTGTGTATGATCTGCGCCACTGACACCGGTTCTGAGCCATATCACCTAAAGTCTCGAACCACTGGTTTCTCTTGTACGGTGGACCCCAGTCCGATAGTCTGCACCTCCTAACATAGGTAAAAGCAGCAGTAAAAGACTCGATGCAGTGATGCTGTTTTGGTTTGGTTTCCACAAGCCTTCCTCCAGCTTGAACATACTTCAGCTAACATTGAGCGACGAGGTAGACGGTGACTAGGCAGGCGTAACATATCCTAGCCATCTCAAGCGAATAAGGTTCATGACTTTATCAACTGCCTTTCCTCTCGCTATCTCAATGTTACATTCAGGATTCGACTAGATAGCAGGCAACGTTATGGTGGCTGGAGGCCAGTTAAACTGTCCCTCGAAGTGTTCTGCCCATCGTTCTAGTAGTCTGTGCGAGTGAATCGCAGACCCGTCCTTCTCCGCTATGGTCTCACTAACCGTTGTTGGCCTTTTCACCAAGTTTCCTTAAAAAACCCAAACAACTGTTTACTATTACCAGTCACCACTGCCTTTTCCATCTCTTTGACCTTTGCTGCCCACCACTGTTCGCGGCCATTGCCTAGACTTTTTCTCAACCTACTTTTAAGTTGCGCTGGCTCTTCATTGTACTCAGAGCCTGCATGGATGCGTTCACGTGCATCCATTAGTTCGGAAGAAGCTGCTGATATCTACTGGTTCCTTCTAGCCACTATTTCGGAGTCGGATACGGTCTTCAGCTCAGTAAAAGACTTCGTGCAGTGATGCCGTGTTTTAGTCTAGTCACCACAAGCCTTCCTCCAGCTTGGACGTATTTCAGCTAACGTTGAGCGACGAGGCAAACGGTGACTATCGTTGACTGATAGCAATGTGGTCTATCTGTGTCCATTGCTGAGTTGAGCTCGGTGGACGCCACGCCAGACAGTGTCTTTCCTTGTGTCTGGAGTTTGTGCTGGCTCAAAATAAACGTTTATCTAAGCATGATTGTAGTAGGCGATCACCATTATCTGTTCTTTCGGCCGGGATTCCGAAAGTGCCACCTAAGCGCCTTTCTGCTTGACTCACCCTACTCACTTGTGCATTGAAATCACCTACAACAACCACGTCTGAACGTTTGGGTTTCAGAAAGAGGTCAGACAATTTTCAGCAGAACTCATCCGTCACTTCATTCTAATTGGGGTCAGTGTATGCGTAAGCAGAGATTACAAAGCGACAACGGTGAGTTTCACTGATCCTTTTAGTTCTCACTGTGCCGTTGAACCGGACAGCACATAGGGGAGTGTTTTAACTGGGATCCAGTCTAGTGGTAAGCTTTCTGCGCTAGTGCCTAATGCTATGCCTGCACATGCAGTGACTGCGAGAACTGACCATGGAATTTTCAAAATCTCGAAGGGTGAGTTTTGTGGATTCACGATATTGGTCAGGAGAGGTTAAGTGAATAACCGCACTTAGGTCCTATATATGTGTCTCATAAACACAGCACACATCCATGGCCTGAGATCCTAGAGTTTTGGCTAGCAAAGGTTTGTTGGCCGGTTTGATGGATGGTCCAGACACTGGAAGCTCCAATGTGAAATTTGTAGCAACGTTTCAGCAGACCAGGGTTGATGTTCTGTGAACTCAGATAGTGTTCAAGAGCTGGGAGGAATTAAAAATGACGTGGGGTAGCTAACTGAGAGACATGAAGGAAGATTAGAAGGTAGGTATGTTGGAGGTGGACAGTGATCTTGAGTGGTGAGAGATTTGTGAGAGCGGTTGATACTTCCCGGTTGCCCACACAGTGGAAGGCTAGTTATTCTTGAGTTACCTGGAAAAGAATGGTTATTGAGTGACCTCAAAGCCCAAGTAACATCTGTTTAAGACCGGTCATGTACAGCCTTTTTGATGACACCAAAATTCGTCTGTATTATGGAAGATGATCACGGACACTTATCCAGTAGTGTAGGATCACCAGGAACCATTGGTGACTGATCTAAACTACATAATGGGTCATTTTTTAGTTTGAAAACTTGGTTATGGTAAGGGGTAACCAAGATCAGAAAGAGCTTGATGGTGTATTGGGACCTCGGGAGAACAAGCTTTGCACCAGTTTAACTCATTCCGTCATCGTGATATACAAACCCGACTACCTTATCAAGGTAGTAGCTGTCGTTTAGACGTCTGCAAGATATCGAACCATTTATCAAAGGACTAGTATGCTGCGCCGCAGCCTGTTGCGTTACGCAACTGCGAGACATGACCTTTAAAAGTAGAAGACATGAAGCGGTTACAAGGTGTCGGTCACTTTTGTCCTCGTAGTATTGCTCGCGATTGATCAAGTCACCTTATCAGCAATAGATATGTCACACATTATCCGCTCACTACCTCAGCGGGGTCAGTCTGACTCTCCAGTTATAGAGTGTCAGCTCATTGTTCGGTGCAAATGGCCTTCAAATATTTGTTCATAGATTTATACCCATGTTTACGCATTTGGGTCTAAACATAATGCCATTCATCCCAGTGCATGTTTATGTACTGCGTCTCAACTCTTAATAATAATAATATGTTTGCTTTATTCCGAACCATAATTATGTTTACAGTACAGAATTCTCAGCATGTGATATTGCACAAGCTTACCCGTTGTACAACATTTTTAAAATGTTTTACAATTGTGCTGCTTAACAATATATAATAAAGAATATGATTGCTGAAATGTTTAGTGACTTCAGGGCTATGATAACTTCGCTATTGCAAAGTTGCTCAATAAGACTATGTGTAACATAATTTTCTTCACGCAATACACAAGCTAAATAAGGTATGGTTGAATTTTTGTATATATTTGTGCACTGAGTTTAACATATTTGCTTTTTGTCCTCCCAGAGGACAGGCATGGAAAGAGGTGCATATGCAGAGGATGGTTGTCATCAGATAACATTTTTAGCCAGCAGTCTACAAGAGTTCAGATGCCTATTTACGACTGCATTTGTCAGCACTATTAGTGGTGTACCACTCGCACTACTAACAGCCTTAGAAATCCTACAAAATGCAGCGTGTTATCTTTTTAGAGTCCCGGAAAGAATAAGGTGGAACAATAAGTCGTTGGTTTAGGCACTTGACTCATTCAGTGAATCATGGGTTCGAAGCTCACTCTACCTACCTAAGTCTGTGGAGTGAGGTTGTTATTAACTCATACAAAATACGTGTGACTCATGTCTTAGTGCGTGGACGTGGTTACTAAGCCCATCTCTATCCTACTTATTATACTATTTAACTATACATTTTGATTCCTAATAAAATTCGGGTAATCACGTTAGCGAAGCTGTAGTTATTCAACAAAATGTTCGAAAAAATCTTGGTTATATGTATATCATAATCATATGTTGGTTTGAGGTTACCACGTGGTATCCAGGCTTTCGGAGAGCCACATCAAAACAGGGGAATGCTCTAGCTTCTTTAGAGCGGTGACTCATCGGTGGGTCGTCGGCTCGAACCCTGCTCCACCTCCCAAAGTGTGGAGGGCCACGCGTTATCATTAACCCTCATACAACAGATGCAGTTCATTGCCTGCTGCGTTAATGTGTATGAAGTTACTGAATGCATTTTGCTGGTTTCCATACACAACTTTGTGGTTTGAATACCTTTTGAAATATAGACTCGACAGTTTTTAAAAAACGTTTTCTTACCCGTGGTGAATGGTTAGGTTAGTGAAATGCTGAAAAGAGCGATTTTCGCTCTAAATATAAGGTTATGAGGGCACCGTAGTTAGGAATCTATGTGTGATAGGCACCTAGATGATATAGTTGGTATCATATTTTGTATTTTGACACAAGGCTGTTGACTTTGGTGTTGTAACTTTTAGCAGTTCTATACAGTTGGTTTCCACTTTATTTCGCAGTGCAAGCAAAGGTGTGACTCGTAAGCGTAGCGTTTCACCTGAACTTCATCATAAGCATTCGCTGGGCACTTGATGTATAAACATGTGATTCGTGCATGAGTATGCTTTTCAAATTCATAAATAGCACTGTTCTTTATAACTTTTATCCCCAGTAAGATAGTTCCCTAGAAAAGGCACTTGGGAACTAAGTATTTACTAGCCTATTTGTCACACTGACTACATCAGCGACCAGTATCTGGGGTAAGTAACACGCTCAGGTATGCTGCAAGTTTACTTTCGTACATGAAATCCAAATATTTTATATAATATAATTATTTCACCATCATTTCCCATGTAAATGAAGTTGAAAATCATATTTTTCTTTTTAGATTGAACCATTTGGTGTAAAGGATGGCGTATTTGGTGATGTATCTGATTGCGTTGGATACTTTAGTATTGGTGTTTGGTCGTCGTTGATCGTTTCTATCCTTCTGGTTTCTATTTTGACTTACGGTCTTGTTATGCTAGCATCTATTCAACCCAGTGAAATATATGAAGATCCTAAAAAGAAAATGATTCAGTTGGGTGCAGACAACTAAAAAGGGTGCGTTCAAGAATTATAGGTCGAAAACCTTACGTGGTAAAAGTTTTCATCCAACTTAGAACACCATTCTGTTTATCTTAAAGCATTATTCTTGTGTTTGTGTGCACAAGTAGCACTTATTTAACTTCCACATTCCCTGACTCGTGTGTTTATAACAATTATTCACTGTTAAAATGATGTATCGCTGTCGAGTGCTTGATTGAATCAAAAATGAACTAAGCGGAGTTTTATTCTTTTGTGATATTTGTGTGGATATTCGACTTTGATTTTTAAAGTTTTTTTGTATAGTAGAGTACTATTTATAACAAACATAATGCATAATATTGCGTTGAAAAACCGTAATTTATTTAAAAAATAGTTCAGTTTGCTTACTTTTTCACTTATCTGTAACGGCAAGAGGTTATAAATACTAAATAAAGAAAAAGAGAGAATAAACAGTCTGAAGATAAAGGTTAGTGTGAATATTCAAGCTTTGAAAGATGTCAAGGAGTAAATACATTGCGCCATAGTGACCGATTTTCAGCCATGTCACCAGGAGTCCTCAACCACTGATTCCTTTTGTCTCAGGGACCCCAATCAGGTAGTCTGCATCTCCCCACATGACTCAGATTAACAGTAGGAGACTTCGTCGACTAGTCCAAAATCTTGGTCTGGTCTTTGAACCTGATCCATTTCCCCCCCAGCATGGAACGTCGAGGTAGGCCGTGGCTCGGCATGCGCAGTACACTTTCAAGCCGTCTGTCGACTGTGGTTCACAATCTCATCAATCGACTTGCCTGTCTTGCTAAGTACCCTTCGCCTGACCTCAACATTGCTCACACGGTGATTTGATCAATCGTGAGCAATACTACGAGGACAAAAGTGACGGACACCTTGTAACCGCTTCATGTCTTCTACTTTTAAAGGTCATGTCTCGCAGTTGTGTAACGGAACGGGCTGCAGCGCAGCATGGCCATCCTTTGATAAGTAGTAGGATATCTCACAGGCGACGCAAGTTGGCAAATGCCAAATGGGCCTTCTGTATCCGAACTGAGATTTCGTCACCAACCAGCACGTTCAGGTTAATGCAACTGCCTAGGTAAGTGAACTGGTCGACAAATTCCACCACTTCACTCATTATCATTAAACTGGGAGTCGTTGTAGTAGGCCAGTCCTAGAGCGTCATCCTACATTTGACAGGTAAGAAACATATCGCAAACATATTCTGGTCCCTGCATAGTGCGTCATGTGCATTTTGTCAGGGTTTTGACGTAGCAGGACTATATCATCTGCATACTCCAATTTAACCAGATGACCTCAATCTCTGAAGTCAGAGGTACCCAAAGTTATGTCCATTAGTGCGTCTATAACGAAGTTAAATAGGAATGGTGACTGGGCATCCTTGGTGGACACCATTAACTGTCGTCACTTCACATGTCAGTTCTCATAAAGCCGTTACACGACTGCGTGATTTTGAGTAGAGAGCTTCGTTTAGCGTTATATGCTTGTTCGGTAATCCTTTCATAGTTAGACACTGCCATAACACTTCGTGGTCGACTAAGCCAAATGCCGCCTTTTGGTAAAGAAATATGGCAAGTTGCGACTGTTAACAGGTATGCCTGTGTTCCAGAACCTGTCGTAGGGTGTAAATGTGATCCATGCGTTCTCATTCAGGTCGGAAACCTGCCTGGTTTCCTTGAGTTAGCAGTTCTTGAGGTTCATTTAGGCGTCTGATAACTATGGAACCTAGGATCTTGGACACAGTATTAGTCAGAGTAATTCCCCTATGGTTGTCAGAGGATGACTTTTTTCCTTTCTTGTAGACTGGTATGATCAGTGAAGTGCACCATTCTGACGGCACTACTCCTCTGATTCCTATACACTGCTTAGTACACCCTTCACTTAAATTAGAAATTTTCTACATCCATCCGTGAAAACCGTGATAAACCGTCAGGTCCTGCTCCTTCGCATCGTTTCAGGGTCGATACAGTTTTCTCAAATTCAAGAAGAGTTGGTGGACCGATATCTACATCCCATTCAGTTTCAGGCTGGATGTCGGGTAACTGAGGGCCAGGTGAACTGTGCTCCAAAGTGTTTTGCCCAACGTTCTAGCCATTTGTCCTCGGAGGTTATCAACATCCTATTTTTTTTGGTGATGGATTCACTCACCATAGTCTTTTTGCAGGTATCCTTAATAAGCACAAGGAATCGCCGAGTGTTACCCAACGCCGATACCTTCTTCATATTTCTCGCTTTCACTACCGATCACTACTGGTGATAGACGTGGAGACTCTTGGTCAACTTACGTTTAATTTCCTTTCGTTCTTCACCGTGGTCAAAGTTAGCTGGAATCGGTTTTCTCATATCAATCAGTTCGGATGACGTGAAAACCCATTTGGAAGGTTTGGCAACTTTCGTGTGTAACTTATCAATTATCTTTACTGCCGTTCCTGCAGCAGACTTAATATTACTCCAAGTTTCCTCAGGATGAGCATTGCCTTCATGTTTAGATAAGTACTTAGCTCTCTTCCCTTAATTCGGACTTGACGTTCTCAGCTTCCAATCTACCTCCAGTTTCCTGAGACCAGTAAGGTGCACACTTGCACGAGCCAGTACTAGCGCGTGATCAGAGTCCAAACTCGTTCTCCAAAAAAGATGGTAATCCTCCAACGATGGCTTATGGTAATATGATCTATCTATGTCCATCCTTGGTTTGAAGTCAGTGGACGCCATGTAAGACAATATCTCTCCTCGTGCTTGAAGTTAGTGCTGGCTGGAAATAAGTGATTGTCAGAACAAAATTGAAACATCACTGTCGGTCCACTGTCATGGGATTCCGTAAATACCCAAGATGCCTTTCTGATTGGCTTAGGTTCCCTACCCGAGCGTTAAAGTCACCTGGTATTATGGTTACCTCTGACCGTTTTGCTTTCTGTAGGGAAGTTGACAGCTTGTAATAGAATTCATCCGAACTGCAGTCGATGGGTGCGTAAGCAGAGATCACAAATCGGCATCGGTTGGTATCATAGTCCGTCCTAGATTTTACAGATCATTCAGTCGAACAGCATAAAACGGCTGTTTATTGATATCCAGTGGAGAAGCGCAATTTCATCTCTAACACTCAATGTTATGCCTACACCAACGAGTCCGCGAGAGCTAGCCATCAGATCTCCGGATACTCTTAAGGTGGGTTTTGAAGACCCATTACTTCTGCCAGGTGACGTCAATTCAATAACCACACTCTGGCTGGTTCTGTATACGTTTCTCAAAGAAACAGCATACGTTCATGGCTAGAGGTTCTAGAGTTTTGGCGAGCGATGTTTGATGTTCGACTTGGCATGGAGTTTGGACGTTGAAAGCTCCTACATGAAATCGATGCTGAGGTCTTCGGAGACTAGGAATGAGGTCTCAAAGGCTTTGATCGTTGAAAATGGTTAGAGAGTGAGAGGTTGGGTAAGGTGTAAGAGGCTTTGTATTAGTATCAGGTGTGGGTTAAGGAGGAGACAGAGTTGAGGACGATAGATTATGTTTGGTTGGGTCTTGTGTACTACTGTAAACGTCCGAGCAAGGGATTGACACTTCTCGGCTGCCCAGCATGTAAAGCTATTCCTTCTTAAGGTACCTGAAAAACGACGAATTTTTGTGACCACAGGGCCCACGGGACATCTGCTTGTGGTCTGTCACACAGCGTTTTGTGCTTTGTTGCTTTTCGGTTTGGTTGTTCTGACGTAGAGGACCCATGCCGTCGATACCAGGAGACTGTAGGACGTGTAGGATGTTACGTTTGAGGTCTACCTTTTGTAACCCTCACTTCTGCTGAAAAAGCGGCATTATCCAGGAGAAACATCTTCCTGGTGTCACACCCTATCCAGCTGGCAGCACCTCGATTTCTCCCTATGACCTCCATCATTGTAGTATCTTAAACTACAACGGTAATTGCTTTTCGTCTTACTAATATCCAACAGATATTTGTAGCATGGTAGAACCCCAAAGAAACAAGCGTTCTACCAGCATAGTTCGTCGTATCATTGCGATATGCAACCCCGACCACCACGTCAAGGCAGCAGCTATCGGTTGGGTTGAAGATAAAATGTAGGTACATCTGGGCCACTGACGTCGATTCTGAGGTTTATCATCTAGTCTCCAACCACTGATTTCTATTGTAAAGTGGGCCTTGGTCTGCATCTCCCAACATTGCTAAAACCAGCAGTAAAAGACTTCGTGCAGTGATGCCGTGTTTTAGTCTAGTCACCACAAGCCTTCCTCCAGCTTGGACGTATTTCAGCTAACGTTGAGCGACGAGGCAAACGGTGACTATCGTTGACTGATAGCAATGTGGTCTATCTGTGTCCATTGCTGAGTTGAGCTCGGTGGACGCCACGCCAGACAGTGTCTTTCCTTGTGTCTGGAGTTTGTGCTGGCTCAAAATAAACGTTTATCTAAGCATGATTGTAGTAGGCGATCACCATTATCTGTTCTTTCGGCCGGGATTCCGAAAGTGCCACCTAAGCGCCTTTCTGCTTGACTCACCCTACTCACTTGTGCATTGAAATCACCTACAACAACCACGTCTGAACGTTTGGGTTTCAGAAAGAGGTCAGACAATTTTCAGCAGAACTCATCCGTCACTTCATTCTAATTGGGGTCAGTGTATGCGTAAGCAGAGATTACAAAGCGACAACGGTGAGTTTCACTGATCCTTTTAGTTCTCACTGTGCCGTTGAACCGGACAGCACATAGGGGAGTGTTTTAACTGGGATCCAGTCTAGTGGTAAGCTTTCTGCGCTAGTGCCTAATGCTATGCCTGCACATGCAGTGACTGCGAGAACTGACCATGGAATTTTCAAAATCTCGAAGGGTGAGTTTTGTGGATTCACGATATTGGTCAGGAGAGGTTAAGTGAATAACCGCACTTAGGTCCTATATATGTGTCTCATAAACACAGCACACATCCATGGCCTGAGATCCTAGAGTTTTGGCTAGCAAAGGTTTGTTGGCCGGTTTGATGGATGGTCCAGACACTGGAAGCTCCAATGTGAAATTTGTAGCAACGTTTCAGCAGACCAGGGTTGATGTTCTGTGAACTCAGATAGTGTTCAAGAGCTGGGAGGAATTAAAAATGACGTGGGGTAGCTAACTGAGAGACATGAAGGAAGATTAGAAGGTAGGTATGTTGGAGGTGGACAGTGATCTTGAGTGGTGAGAGATTTGTGAGAGCGGTTGATACTTCCCGGTTGCCCACACCGTGGAAGGCTAGTTATTCTTGAGTTACCTGGAAAAGAATGGTTATTGAGTGACCTCAGATCCATGGTGACATGTGATTGGGGCTGGCCACATATAGGATTTTTGTAAGTTTTAGATGTTTTTGTTTAGATGCTGACTCTGAAGCCCTATCGCAGATATCGCTATACCTCTATTAACGTCGTATTGAAAGTTATTACATTTTGTTTCTGTTCGCTGATACTGTTACTTATGTGGATGTTGCCATTGACGATGGGAGGTGGTTAGAAAAGATATTATTCTTTGTTTTTATTCCCGATATTTTTCAACTCATTTTCTTCAAGTGGTAAGGTGGGACAACTAGGATGAAGGTCGTTTGAAGCAGGGAAAGTAATGCCGTCACACTCGTGTCCAACTAGTAGTACCTCTTCGTAAGCTAGTTACATCAGGAAGATAGCTGATTTTGGTCTTATAGATATCTGCTCGACGTTTTCGACTAGGTAAGACTTAAACCCCACAACACCTGGGATCTACAATATGCAAGGTCGATTGCCACGTCAAATGCAGCGTCTTTCGGTCGGATTAGCGGTCTCCTAATAGTTGAAGATTAGGATTAAAGAAGCGGATATATGATATCCGCCACGTATATTCAAATAATGTGCACCGTGATGATCTTTTCCTACCCTTATCACCTTTATTCTTCAACCACGTATTTCAAGCTATAAGAAATCTGTCTTATAAATGTGTGAGATGGTTATATCGGTGTCATTTCGTTGTTTGATGACTTCATTGGTAGCAACTTAAACTGTCGATGTTTTACACCAACAAGCTTCTTGGAGAAGCGAGGTTTTCAGCATGGAAGTGTCGTTAGAGAGAGGTAAGTATAAGAAATCATGCTAAATTAAAGGTTAGAAAATTCAACAATTGCATTCATTTTCTATGAATTGTATGGCAGCTGTTACTGCTTTGTGTAGTTGTTACAATAATAAAGTTTTCAGCGTATACAGTGCAACATGTTGTTTTCATGAGTTGTTTGACTGGATTTTGCATCAAGTCCGTAAAAGTAAGAATCAAGTATTTAACTATGCCTTACATTCCGTGAGCTTTTTCATTTCTCAGTCTATTACTTTTTACGAGCCTGTACACATTTAATTGTAATGTGTAAAAGTTGTGCATTTTTAAATTAGACAGCTTTGAATCACGTATTATAAACAGAGTGTTAACTGAGGATTATAGGTTTATCATACATGGGACTAAAGTCGATATTTCATGTAAACCGTTATGGCATAGATTTCTGTTGACATCATTTGATAATTAATAAAGATCTTTCAGTGGTTTGCAATATGAATAACAGGAAGTAGAATTCGAAAATATATCTTTCCAGGAATCTGTATATTATTCATACTTTTTTGAGCTAATGATCAAATTCATCACAGTGAAACAGTATTGTTTTCCAGGAAATTTTGCTGACAATTTATTGTTCATTGTCATACTAAGATAAAGTGAGTTGAGATGTCTACAACTTTCAGACATGGTTTATATGTTTGTTAGGTGTAGAATTTTATAAATATTTGAAACAAGTGCTAAATCACTCTTGGTGTTAATTATATTATTATTATTGGTGATAGTGCTAACAATAATAATAATAATAATAATAATAATAATAATAATAATAATAATAATAATAATAATAATAATAATAATAATAATAATAGCTCTGAAAGGTAGTTCGGGAACATTTCACACAATTTGTAGTATGTTATATGATATTAATAGGATAAAAATAGCAAAAGTACAATAAAATATTTACTTTATTTACAACTTATTGAAAAGATGGAGGTTACTATAGTAAGCAATCGTAATAACAGTTAGACTCACAATACATAAATAATAGCCAAGTGTATTATCTTTAATTCACTTGCTGTTAAAAAGGTTGAGTAGTTAGTTCATTTGTAAGACTTTCTTTCTCACATGCAATATGATTTTAATAAGGTGTGGTAGGCTTTTTATATTTAGGAGTACGTGCATAAAGTCTTATATACCTTGCTTCTCGTCGTACATGAGAGCTGACACGTAGGAAACTTTAAGTGAAGAGGATGCGGGTTTTCGGATGAAATAACTTCTCCCAGCCGTTCACATTAGTTAAGATGTTTGTTCACAACAGTGCCGATCAGAAGGTTTAGAGGCTGTCCACTAGTTCTGCTGACAATCTTTAGTTTTACGCAATACAACGTAGTCTTTCACTAACCTGGAAGAGAATAGTGGGAAACAATAGGGAATAAAAAACAAGACATAAGTCTATATAAGACAAAAGAAGAGGCTAAGTTATACTGGAAACTTAGCTTCTTAATTTAGGAGGTTAGGCTGTGGATTCTTTTGAAAATTAGTAAGATATAGGAGGACCAGGAAAGACGAGAAGAAAAGCACACACCGTAATGAATCACACTTCTATAACACAGAGCCATCAATAAAACAGGAGGCACAAGGCTTAAGCAGTTAATACAGGTCATGTTCATGTCTGAAACTAAAATTCATGATCTGACATTTTGAAGGGCTAAGTACAAAAACCATTCATAGATTACCATCTTTTATTGGTAGATAACAAATCATCTAGTTGAGAACAATCTGATCAAGAGGCGACATGAACTGTTAGATTGTCACAGCATACATATCGAAGTAAATACTTGGTGAGGATGATTTAATTTGAAAAGGTTCTTTAGTCAATCGCTTCACCGACTCAAATATGCTACTTTCTAGGAATTTCACCCTTCTCTGTTTAGTTATATGTTTGTATGCAAAAACATAGCAGAGGTTGTCTCTTAGACTCCTCACCTTACTGAGGTCCGTTGACGTTGATCCATTTCACTTCTTCGTTCAGATCATTTAGACCTAAATATCAACCTGTGTACGCTCCAATTCTAATGCACGAAGATAAAGCAACAATAGTAATTGTCAGTAAACCATACTTAGAAGAAGCTTATGCAGTACAATATGCAGTAGAGTGGAGTGGTGGTTCATTAGTTTAGGGTTGCTATTTCGATCACCACTCCACTTGCAGAGGTTCGGGCATCCAGGTAGTGTTACTAGCCTTCATGCAGTAGGTTTTTCGGATTGACTACTGCACGCATGTGCACAAGGGTACTGAGTTGGTTTCAATTTTGATAAGCAGTGGATTAGTGGAAACCATTGTGAAATCCTGATAGAAAACTTCGAAATGGCCAGATTAACTGATACTGGAGTAAAACATAGGCACTGGTAGATTGTAATTTTATTTTATTCTGTTTATTAGATGTGTCACACAGTGAAACAGTATTATTTATTATATAACGTTTTGGATATAATTTCTTGTCCATGTTTATACCATGTAGCTTCACAATTTTGAGAAATAGTTTATATACTTCTAATTTCCTCTCCTGTGTGATGAGGGTATTATAATTTTGCAGATATCTAGAATAGGTGCTGAACCATTCCTGTTGCATGTGGAAAGACTCGGTTATGAACCTCTCTCTCTCTCTCTTCCCAACACGGTTTTTACTTGCTTCCGAAAATTCAACAAAAGCTCAAATCAAGTGGTTCAACAGATTGATGAACAAAAAGAATATCCAGTTGAGAATGACAAGACGACGAGTCGATAATGAAAAGTCAAACCATCGGAAGACATCTCTTTTCGTATTCATGTCGAATTCCTTGGTTAAACAAATCGAAAATGCCATCATCAAAACAGTTAACTCCATTATTTCAGCAGCAAACATGCATTGTGTAAACAGTATTTAAAAGCAGTTCATAATGTATTGATAATGGATTTCAGTGAAAGGTGGTGAGCACAATAACGGTCAAATCCTAGGCTGTCAACAACCACAACCAATCGATAAGCAATTTTTCCATACACCTGGATGAAGGACAAGTCAAAATGCTAAATCTTTTGGAAGAAAAATTTTGAAGATGTTCTAATATTCATCCTTCACGTAACCGGGGTATGACAGCTGTGTTTCCCACTTTTACTAACTGTTGTAAAGACAACAAAGATTATTTGATTTTAATATTGATCGAGAGTCCTACTTCTGATAAAGTTTATGGAATTTGATTTTGATTGGTCTCACCAATCCTCAACCATGAATTTGAATAGACTGTACAGACACACGAATTCCAAAAATATTTTATTGGCCAATTAATTATAAACACAGGTCTACGCCTGTCATCTGAACCTGTCTAGTCACACCGTAGTTTGCTGATATCTTTGCGTTTCATGCTTCCAAACAGACTACATTTTCATCCCTACAATGACCTTGAGGATATCTGATTAACATGTGTATCGACAAACTATTGTATTACGATGAAGTGTGATGAGATCTGAGGTTGCAGGACGATGATGTCCAGATATGATATGAACACAATTTACACAGTATGTATCAAACAGAAAAATGTTAATTTATACAGAGAATACTACTCAGCTGATTAAATTGATAATAGGAATAAAATTTGCACCTAAGATACCTTGACCAATATACAGAAATGCAATTAAGTACCTGAATACTTATGAATTTTCAGATGACACCGGCTTTTATGCATATAACCCGATAATCAACGATTACAGTCATTCTTCAAACTAGTTGGTTTCCGTGGATTGTGTTCAATGAAAAGTCATTCAAATCTGTTACCCAGAGTAAACTCATTTCACTCCTTATCTAATTCACTGTCATTTTTATTCTCATCATCATCATCATTCACTTATTCACTGTATTTCTTGTTTTATATACTAAACAACTTTCTAATAGAACATGCAGTGGACGCTGTACAAGGATGTAGTATATTCTACCAATCAGATTTCAAGTGGAAAAAAGCTCTATGTGATTCAGAAGTGAATAAACTAACCCAGTTACCACTGGATTTACCCTCAAATCTTATTGAACTACGTGTTTTGCATCAGTCGATTATGAAAATTAAAAGAAATTCTTTAAATCACTTGATTCACCTTGAAACATTTCAAATTGAATCCAGTCAATTAACACAAATTGAATCAGATACATTTCGTCAAATGATTTCTTTGAAATATATTAATCTACGGAATAATTCATTAAAGATTGGAACTACAAGTTTTCCTGTGGAATTATTACATGATTTACCTAATCTGCGTTCATTAAATTTAGCTGAAAATCCAATTGATTTTATACCTGATGCATTTTTTGACAATTTAAGCGGTAATAAATTGCAGTACTTATGGTTAGGATCTGTTAAATCTAGAGGCATAAACTTTGAATCAAATACATTGAAACCATTGATGCATTTACGTTTATTAGATTTAAGTTTTTCTGGGTTAGATAGTTTTCATGCATCTAATGAACTAGCATTGAATAATATGCCCGAATTAAAAGAGTTTTATCTTGGTGGTAATCCCTGGACCTGTGACTGTAAACTAAGTTGGCTGAGAGTATGGTTTCAACAGAAATCATTAAAAGGATTGAAATATCAACAGAATAAAACTGATCAAAACGGTAATATTGAAGTGCATGAACCAATCTGTTTTAAACCAGACACCTTGAAAGGTAGACATTTATTTTCTGCTAATAAATACAATTCTTTACAATTCTCTGATTTACGGTGTCCTGCGCAAATTTTCACATTAAATCAAAATTTCACATTTCATTTCGGTAAGATGATGATATTACGATGTGATTATCATTCGGAGAAAATTGATGATATTCTCTGGTATAAAGATGGTCAGTTTGTACAGAATACGTCTGAGAAAAGTATCACTCAAGGTCAAATAGGATCGAATTTCTATACAAATCTATTGATTTCCTCCACAACAGGTGAACATACAGGATTATGGACTTGTATGTTAGATGATCAACATCGTACGGTGTTCGCAGTTAGTATTTTAAATTCGGAAGGTAAAATACTTTATCCAAGCGATGAAAACTCTTTCATGCATGGAGCATTTGTTTTGTTTGGAGCTAGTGGTGAGACTAGAAATTGGGTTTATGCTGGTATCGCAATGGTTGTTCTGTTTGTAATGTTGGCGATAATCGGCATCGGAATATTTTGTTGTTGTGATCCTCAATCAGCATCATCAAATCCATCATCAGAATCTCAAACACTTCAAGAAACGCATATTAAAAGGTGTTCCGGCAAATCATACTTCGTATGCAGAGGTGGGATAAGACGTCTCAGAAGACGAAAAAAGGATGGTAACAAGAATAAGGAGAATAAAGACGATTCAGTCAGTAGTTTAATGGTAGCAATAAATGATGAACAGAAAATAATCGATAAAAGCGAATTACTACAGGGAGATAACCAGAAAGAAAGTTCAGGTTGTATTCTTTCAAATTTAAATACACTTGTGTCCGATTCCATTGCTACCTCTAATGTTGACACTGTGAGTGGTGATAACAACAACATTATTCCATCAAAAAGGAACATAGAAGAAAACCGTTTATTAAATATTTTCTGTTGTCCTACAAATACAACGCGTGAAGTTCAGGTAGTCGCTATCCCTACAATTGGATCACCGTCGTCATCGTCATCGACAAATGTTACACACCTGGGTGGATCGCTTATACACGAGACAGTTGCTACGGGTGGAAACCGGCTGCTTGTATCCTGTGATAGTCCTGAACCAAAGTTGTTGATTGCCAATGGGATTACACCATGCTCAAACATATCACCTCTAAACTTTTCTACTTGTCTACAACAGACGCAGGATATGAATATTGGACATCAGCAAAGTTCTACAGCATGGAATAATAATGTTGGTCATCCGGTTTCGGAATTATTCACAGCCTACACACCATCGAATCAGATTGGTTTAGAAACAAAACCTTGTCCTGTACATGGAGTTATGAAACTAAAGCAAGTGGAATTCATGAGTAAAAACATCACGACTACTGTTAGTACTAGTAACTGCTATAGCAGCATCAAACAGTCTCCGAACTATCAGACTATTAATCCAGTCTATTGGAGTAATTCTAATAGTGCTACATTTTTAGCCAATCCCCACTTAACATATAATATGCCAGGTTGTGCAGTGTTTAATGCAGATGTTAATAGTACGAACAATGGTAGTGATACTAACAGCAGTGATAATCTTATGGGTAGAAATACGGAACAGGTTCAGAACTATTCAAAAGCTTTGTTAAAGAATGATGCATATAACTGTAGCTTATTGCCAAAAGTCAGTTTAAACGAACCCAGTATACAATGGCCTTCAGATTCCCTACCGAATGAATCTTGTCCACTACACGGTTATCAGACACTGAACAAAAGGAGTAGTAAGTTGAAAAATTCTGGAGATCTGACATCAAGTAACGACATGACTTTGAAAATGCATCAACTCACTAAATCTCATGTTCATTCTCAATCTGATCATCGTCCCTATTATCATCATGGAAAGGAGAGAGTCTTACATAATCAAGAAATGGAAGTCTGTTCCTTCAGTGATAATACCAGTGGTACCGATGAACAGGAGGAGACCGATAATCAGTTGAACAGCGATCAGGATGATCATCGAATTTTTTCAATATCTTCTAATAAACAAGGGAAAGAAGTGTATACATCCACGGAAACTGAATCCCAAACTGAAAGTTCAGTATCTGAAAAATGTGTACATAGTGATTGCGCTTCTGCTTCATGTACTTCGTCTTCAGCTTCTACAACTGCTTCAGCCTCTTCTTTTAATCAAAAGTTCAAGTTAATTCATCCACCGAATCAAACAGGATTCAATTCCATTTGTTCTTCGTTGTCGAATCAAATTAATCTCGCAACAGCAGCGGAAGCTATTGAAAATGTACAACAGCAATCTCCACCTTCACTTGAATTCTGTACATCTCCAAAGCTGATAAGTAGACCAAGCAGTTCAAATGGTCGTCCTATGAATTACTATGGAAAGTGGAGTGATTTTAAAGGAATAAACGAAAGTGCACATCCTAATTCAAAATGTCCTGTACATTCCTTAAAGGTGAATCGTAAACCAATATCAAGTACGATATTTTACGATACCTACAATCATCATCTAAATGGTTATCAATATAGTCATCAACAATACAATGATAATGGCTATAATAAAAACAATATAGGTACCCTTCGAGTTACCACCTTACCGTCAAGATTAAGAAAAATCAGTAGTAACAGCATTACTACTAATAATAGTAATTATAATAATATGGCTTCCATTAGAAAGTTTGCCAGTCAGCATACTGTACAATCAAATTATTCATCTTCCCTATGTTTATCTGCTCAAAGTTTGGATAAATTCACTAGACATCCGAAACCTATTCTACGTCCTGGTTCAAAGCATAAACTCGACACAGAAAGTGATTCAGATAATAACACCTCTGAAGGAAACAACTTTCCACTTTAATTTTATTGATTATTTCTGTGTCAATAAGTAGGTGTACATTTGTCAAATGTATATAGGCTATATTCCACTGTGTTCTCCTAATCGATACATGTATAAATTGTTATTTCATGGTAGTCGTTGAAAATGCATCAAGTTTACTTTGGTTCTCTAAGTGTACATGTTTGTGTAGTTGTTTATGTACGTATACTTCTGTAAAATTCAAATTTATGCAATCAATGTGATACTACATGAAAACAGAATATATTGATTTTTAGTTCAATAATTTATTGACTAACCGTCAAGTTGCTTTAACACAACAAAAGCAAGAATAGCAAATAACAATGATATTAATAAACGACTGAAAAACCTGTGTTATCTTCATTCAAGTTTATTTTAAAATTACTGGAAATAAAATCACCTATGAGCTACTTTTGTGCAACCAGTAAATCGATAGGGATAATCGATATTGAAACTAACCATGTACATAAGTAAATTTTAATTTTAAAGATACTATTTTTAAAGAAATCAATAGCTTTTCTTTTTGCTATTTTTATCATGCAAAAGTCTGTGTGAAATGATTTGCGCTTAGAATGCAAAGCTTTACCAGAGAAGTTGATCTTTGTACTTGTGTTACTGTTATTTTTTCGTTTCTTGTGTGTTCGTACGACTTTCTTCATAAACGAATACACAAGAAACGAAAAGATAACTGTAACACGAGTACGAATAATAACGACAACGCAAGTAGAAAGGAGTTTACAGCCTCCGAAATATTACTCTATAAGGAAGGTATATCAAATAATTTATGTAGGATCCTCAACAAAGCAGGAATTAGGGTGCTTGTTATTTAAATCTACAAAATCACTCAGAGATAAGCTTTATCGGCTAGATTAAGGATCCGACAGAACCAATTAAGCAAAATGATCTAATCTATCAAATTCATTGTAATGATTGCAAAGTCAAAGTAGCTGGTCGGGGTCGGTTAAATTAGCGGAATATAGGAATTTAGCTAAGTATAGAATGACAGATCCCAATAAGAGCAATCGTCTAGGAAAAACCTTGGGTATTGCTATGCATGCATTAACACAACCACACAATGGGGTGGGATAAAACCCCTGTAAGTAAGTTCAATATAATTTGATGGAAAGAGATTGCTTACTGAATTTTCATTTTTCGAATCCACACCCAACACACTTAATAGGAATGACACGACACCTATATCAGAGATATGGAACATTTTACTACTAATGAAAACAAATAATATGAGGTAACCGGACGGTAAAATTCATGTGTCGAAAGTAGTGTGATTAAATTGATATGATTATGAGCAATGATAATTTATGCTGGAAACGTCATAAAGTAAATAATGCTGTATCACTGTGTTACAAATCAAATAAACACATCTAATATGAAATAACGTTCTAGTATAGTGACCAGTTCTACACCTATATTAAAGAAGTGAATTTCTTTACGCTAAGTTGATCACTAGCTTCTTTATCAGCAGATAAATATGCTGTTTATGTTTCTTAGGATATAGAATCGATGCTTGTTCATTATTGGTAAATATAATCGTTATCAGCTTTAACATGTTTCATGTTACTACTGATACGTATTCATGCCACAATCCATCACATCCTGTATGGTGTTGATGTCAACAAAATTTTGACATCATATCACTGACACCTATACTGAATCACCAAGAAGTTATGGTGCAGCTGAAGTTTTTTGTTATAACATAATGTTAAATTTTTAAATTATAACCAATTTATATGTATGGATTCATTTGATTCTAAAATGGTTAATCACCGTTTGTTCTTTGAACGTTGGTGGGTTTTTTCTATGAATGACAAGCCGTTTATTTCACTGACTTGTCAGCATCACTTGCAGTTCGTTTATGAGAAAAGTAGTTTTAATGCAGAAATTCATTAATTGTACTTTCTAAGGATAAATTCAGTCAAGGTTATTCACTTGTTTTTTTTGAAAAGAAATGATTCACACAACCTAATTCCTTCTTTAAGAATCATTTTCATCTCGTCATTGTCAGTAATGCTGAAAAACAACCAGCAGGTGGGTGGGTTCGGGGTTTACTCATATCTTGTATCATTATAGTGCTTCCTATATCGATAACAATAAATGCAAGCCTTATGAGGAATCAGTAACCTATTGTTGCTAGTTTTAGTTAACAATAAATGGTTGCAGTCCGTAAGTAAGTGACTTATTAATTTAAGATGGATTAGCCTCGAAATATCATGAAAATCGGTCATTGAAATCCTTAAAAACCTTCTGGGAATTGTAATAGGCCGAGGATACTTTTAAAAGATGACGCAATACAACTAATAAACGAGGGTAATGTGTTAATTTTAACCTATTGTAGGCGTTTGCATTTCACTCAGAAAATAATGATGGTTAATCGAATATTTTCTCCGGGATGATGCGACTTAATATTTTGCTAGGGGTGGGCAGCAGCATGATTCGTCGCCAGTTCTTGCAAAGACTCCGGTCTCCCTTCTTTGGAAGTTTGACAACGTAGCCTTTCTTCTAATCAATCCCCAGGTACTTTACCTTCCTTCCAAACCTTGTGCAGTAGTGGTGTGAGCATGTCCGCTGTTATCTCTGCGTCTGTTTTCATTGCTTCTGGAGGAATTCCACGTGATCCTGCTGCTTTACCGGATTTCAGCAGTTTTATTGCATTCAGGACTTCGGCTTTTGTTAGAGGGCTTGTGTTCACTTGTAGTTCTGCAGTTGCTGGTGGTATTTGTGGATGAGTTGCGAATGGTGGTGACGGTTGATTCAAGAGTTTTTTTGAAGTGGTCAGCTCATCGTTTCCTTTGTTTCTCCTTTTTGGTAACTAAGTTTTCTTCACTATCTTTCATCGGTTTCGTCCGCGTTGATGTCTTCCCGGATAGTAACCTGGTTATTTGATACAATGTTGTCAGGTCTCTCCTACCAGCCTGCAGCCTGTTCTGCTTCACTTTCCAATGTGTCGTAGAAGTGTCTTTTGTCTTTGCGTTGAGATCCATTTCTTGTCTTGTTTCCCCTTCCTTCCTTCCTAATACGGTTATGCAGGTTTCTTTCCACATTCCTTTCAAAGATTTCTAGTGTTCATCCACACAGGTTTCTTCGGGCATGTTGTTTAATGTCTCCCATTTTGTCCCGATGGCTGACTGATGTGAAGATGTCCCTTGTAGTCTCGTCTTTCACTTTCTGTGCTGGATGTTGAACTTGAACTGTGGTCTATCACCAATTTCTTTGATGGCTTTCAACTTGATTTGGAAGGTTCCTAGAACTAGATAGTATTCCGAACCTACATCTGCTCCTCTTCTTGATCTTGTGTTAAGTAGGCTGTGTCTCCACTTGAGATTGAGATCAATTCGACCTGATTTTTAGTGTAGTGTGTCCATCTGGTGAAATCCATGTCGCTCACTTTGTGAATATCATTGTGTTTACACACACTACCTCCAATCACCAAATCGTTGAATGCACAGAACTTTGCAAACAGTTCTCCATTCTCATTCATTTCACCGAATGCTTCTTGACCCATGATTGGTTCTCGTCCGCTCCAAGTTTGGCATTCATATAGCCCATTAGAATTTTGATGTCGCCAACTAGAGTCCTGTCTAGTACTGATTGCAGCTGTCTGTAGAACTCCTCCTCCTTCTCCTGATCTGCATTATTTTTTGACGCTTAGCTTTGAATGATTGTGACTTTCCTTCCTTTTGAGTTGAATCTTAGCTTCATGACCCTGGAAGGGGTTGTCTCTCACTGCATGAAAGCCCCGATGTTCTTGTGAGGGGGCATCATGATAGCCACTCCCTCCATGTGTTCATAATTATCTTCTGGGTGACAATTCTGGAGTAGATTACTGACTCTCCAGATGGTGGTTGGGACAGTCCACTTCCATTCCATCTGCTTTCGCAGATTCGAAACACTTGAATGGCATATCTTCTCATCTCTTTTGCAATCTGGCCAGCCTTTCTAGGTTCAAACATGGTGCAGACATTCTATGTCCCCAAGTTTACTTTTGCCTTCATCGAGAGAAGACATATCGGCCGACTGGCTTCCCGAAGGCTTTCACCAACAGGCTTCATTTCGCCTCTCCGATTCCTGCGAGGAATAAGTTTGTTTTTATGTCTTATATTTTCTTTGTGCTTTGAAATTTGTTTAGCGATTGGATTGGTTTTCCGGGGTAGGGTTGCTAGCCCTATGCCCACCCTTCCCTCTTTATCGGGGCTTAGGACCGTCTAGTAACTAGTGAAGTAGTTAACCAGGCGAGGTCAAATGATGTGAATAGTGTAGAAAATTTTTAGAAACGCCTGAAAATGTCTAGTTAAAATATTACTGATAGTGGAAATCATAAAATTATTAACATTTTAAATGAAAGTATGCTACTGGGAATGAGTGCTAAGAGCAGAAAGAAAGAGGATTCTTTTATGCCTTCTGCCGGTTGTCACAAATTATCACAATTGGAGCTGCAGCTGCAGAATCTGAAGAACATATTATTAACAACAAACGTTTTTCATGATGATTTGCTAGTCATAAATTTGACCATTTCCTTCCGCATAGCACAGATGTCAAACGCTTAGAGGCAATACATAAGATGCTATTCATTTTCAGCAACATTCTAAAAAGATTATTAACTGAAACTGAATAACAAGCGTGAAATATTTTCCTGTCAGCTGATCCTGAGAGTAGGCGGAGAGAAAACATGTAAAATAAAAAATGTCGAGTTTGAAGTCGAAGTGAAGTAGGAGGAAAAAAGTTTGATTTATCGCTTCGAAAAATGTGTGATTGATAAAAAGAGCAAGTAGAAAAGGAGAAAAGAAGTGAAGTAAGAATGTAGCTTTATCTACTACACAAAAATGTCAGAAGGAGAAGATTCTAACACCATTTTTAACACATATTTGTTACGTGCTAAAATTCGTTAAATATCAGCCTGTAAATGTATTTCAGTCTAGTGAACAAGAGAAATTCCTCACTAAGTTCAAAGCAAGGTATTCACTATTCTATCTTTTCTGTTTAGCTAAATGTCATTTATACTAGGCGGTGATTTTAGGTGAAATGAAAATTTTGCTCATGGAAGGATTCGAACCAGCGACCTGGTGTTTTATCAACTGACCTACGAGACCTAACTTCTAACCAGATTTTCATTTCACTTTCAATCATCACTCACTATCAATACAAGCCAGCCAAACTAAAGCTATCTCACATCGCCAAACCGATAATCAAATATTATTTAATTTTTAATCGATGAAGACCAACTATTAGTCAAGAAATGTGTTCTTATTGGCTTAATTGAGGGTAGCTTACAAGTGGTTTCCGTTCCTGGATGATGTGAACTGGGTACTCGTTGAGAATAGGAGAAGTGGAGACAACTGTCTTGGAATTATTTAGCAGTGTATACACTGGAAATAGTGTGATGCTTAGTCTATGATATTAAGGTTAAGAGATAGCCATGTATTATTCAATCAGTAAGTTGATATTCCATTGTGCATGCTTCCTGTATATAGATATGCGAAAGCAC